AGAGAGAGCTTTACTCTGTATCTAATCCCGTGCTGTCCCTGTCCTGGGAGTGTTTGATGGGGGACAGTGTAGAGAGAGCTTTACTCTGTATCTAATCCCGTGCTGTCCCTGTCCTGGAAGTGTTTGATGGGGTCAGTGTAGAGAGAGCTTTACTCTACTCAGAGAGTGGTCGGGGCGTGGAATGCATTGCCAGAGAGGGTAGTGGAGTTGGCCTCATTAGGGGTATTTAAGCGGCTATTAGATAGGCATATGGATGATAGTATAAGGTAGGGGTGGAGGTTAGACGGACCTTAGTATTAGGGTAAAAATTTCGGCACAAGATCGTGGGCTGAAGGGCCTGTACTGTGCTGTACTGTTCTATGTTCTATATCTAACCCTGCGCTGTCCCTGTCCTGGAAGTGTTTGATGGGGTCAGCGTAGAGAGAGCTTTACACTGTATCTAACCCTGTGCTGTCCCTGTCCTGGGAGTGTTTGATGGGGGACAGTGTAGAGAGAGCTTTATTCTGTATCGAACCCTGTGCTGTCCCTGTCCTGGGGAGTGTTTGCGGATAGCATGGAGGGAGCTTTACTCTGTATCTTTACTTTATATCCACCATCATCCCAGTACCAAAGAAAGCACATGCAACTGTGCCTCAATGACTACGCCCAGTGGCTCTGACCTCCATAAATCATGAAGGCTGGTCATGGCCCACATCAGCCCCAGTCTCCCAACCTGCCTCAATCCCCTACAGTTTGCCCACCGGTGTAACAGGTCGACAGGAGACACTGTTTCCATAGCCCTGCACTCATCCCTGCAACATCTGGACAACGAGACTCCTACTCATTGACTACAGCTTTGCCTTCAACACCACAATCACACCCAGATCAATCTCAAAACTTCGAGATCTAGGTCTCAGATCCACCCTCTGCAATTGGATCCTCAGTTTCCTGACCTACAGACTGCAAACAGTGAGGATAGACAACTCTCGTGATAACTCTCAACACTGGAGCCCCTCCACCCCCCCAAGAATGCGTTCTCAGCCCCTTACTATACGCCCATGTTTATGTAGCCAAATTACGAAGGAACGCCATCAACAAGTTTGCTGACCACGCCACCATTGTAGGTTGGATATCAAACAACGATGAGTCAGAATACAGAAAGGATATAGAGGGCTTGGTGTCGTGGTGCAATGATAACAAGCTGTCTCTCAATGTCGCAAAACTAAAGAATTGATTATTGACTTCAGGAAGAAAGGAGGAGGACACGTCCCCATCTACATCAACGGAGCTGAGGTGGAGAGGGTCAAGAGCATCAGGTTCCCAGGAGTGATGATAACCAACAACCTGTCCTGGACTTCCCATGTAGATGCGACGGTCAAGAAGGCACGACAAAGCCTCTTCTTCCTCTGGCAACTCAGGAAATTTCGTATGTCCATAAGGTCCCTCACCGACTTTTACAGATGCACCATTGAAAGCATATTGTCCGGTTGCATAACGGCCTGGTATGGCAACTGTTCTGTCCAACTGTTCCGTAAGAAACTACAGAAGGTTTTATGCACATCCCAGACCATCATGGAAGCCAACCTCCCATCTATGGACTCCATTTACACTTCTCATTGCCATGGAAAGGCTGCCAATATCATCAAAGACCCATCCCCCACCCCAGTAATGTTCTCCTAAAACCTTTTCCGTCAGGCAGAAGATACAGAAGCTTGAACACATACACCAAGGAAGAACAGCTTCTTCCCTGCAGTTATTAGACTGATGAATGGCCTCTCTAACTTCAAATAATGTGGGTTTTGTTAACGTTCGTCTTGCTTTGGGCACTTCTTGTGAGGTGTAACCGTGTATGACTTGCTCTGTCTGAGCACCCTATGATCTGTGTGTCCTTGCTTGCTAATGACCTGCCTGTACTGCTTGCAAAACAAAGCTTTTCACTGTACTTAGGTACATGTGACTACAAGAAATCAAATCAAATCTAATCCTGTACTGTCCCTGTCCTGGGAATGTTTGGTGGGGACAGTGTAGACAGCTTTACTCTGTATCTAATCCCATTCTGTCTCTGTCCTGGGAGTTTTTGATGGGGACAGTGTGGAGGAAGCTTTTCTCTGTATCTGACCCCGTGCTGTCCCTGTCCTGGGAGTGTTTCATAGGGACACAGTGTAGAGGAAGTTTTACAAGTTGTTTATCTTCTTATAGACTGCTCAGCAGCTGTCCCCCAGTCAGTCTCTCTGAAAGAAACCAGGTCAAAACACACTTCTTAAAGCCACAGCAGAGTCACAAATTTTCAGCAGTTGGGGGAAAGACCAACAAATAGGGGTTCCCTCTGTGCATCAGAATCCAACAAATTAAAATTGTCAAATTCACATTTATGTGTTTTTTGGCCTACTCCCTTACCTCAGTCACCTCCTCCTCCCCTTAATCCCAACACACTCGCTGCTGTGCCATAAACTGCCTGGGCCCCTGAACCTCTCCATCTCTCTTCATCCCCTCCTTTAAGATGTTCCTTCTGTGTCCTGTGGAAAGCAGGAAACTATGGGCCAGTTAGCTTGACATCTGCTGTGGGGAAAGGTATTAGAATCAGTCATTACAGAGATCATAGGTTCACACTTAGAAAACCCAAGGTCATTGGAAAGAGTCAACACAATTTTGTCAAAAGGAAATCATGTTTAACCAAATTATTGGAGTTCTTCATAGGAGTAACATGCACTGCGGATAAATGTGTCTTTTTCCCACAGCAGGATGTGACTAGTAGACCAGACTGGACCCCCTCAAAACATTTTAAAAAGGTAGCCTAAACCCTAACTTTTTCTTATTTTAAGGGTAGATCTGAAGTGCATGTTCCAGATGTGATGTGACTGGTCAAACTACTCAATGCTTAGCAAAACACAATTTATTTAAACACTATAGTTCAAATACAAACAAAAAAACGGAATTTAGAATAACTTAACAATTGGAAAATTTAACCAAACAATAGATACAGTAACTATTACTAATTAACTGTTCCAATATGGTAACATTTCATATACACACCCCTTGGTAAAAAGACAAATTCAGACACAGATTCTTACATGCAGTTCTCCATTCCAGGAGGGATAAAGCATCAAGAGGAATTTCGGAAAAAGTAGCAGCGAGGAATCATTCACTGAAAAGCTTCCAGCTCTTCTGAGACCCCAAACAGCTTCTGCTGCTTAAAGCTAAAAAAAAATTAGAAAGCCTGATCTGTGAGAACTGGCCACTCCCATTCAAGCTGCTTCCATGGTTCTGACTTTTCTAAAAAGAACCCAAAAGCTTCACATGTTGTTTACTTGAGCTGTCTTCAATAGCCAGTTCAGCACCTCTGCCTTTACAAACTCTCTTCAAACAAAAAACCCAGGACAAAATAATCTTTTAAAGTGACAGTATCATCACAAGTCCCACATGGATCTGTCCTGAGCTCTCAACTTTTTCCAATTTATATCAATGACTTACCTAAGTGGAAATGAAGGAGTGGGAACTAAATTTGCAATTGACATAAAGACAGGTAGGAACGTATGTTATGAAGATGACATAACAAGGATGCAGACCAATATGGATAAGTTAAGCGATCGTGCAAAAATTTGGCATATGACATGGAAAACGATAAAATCGTTCACTTTGGTAGGAAGAATAAGAAGGCAGAGTATAGAGAATAGCTGCAGCATTCTAAGTTGCAGAGTGATCTATGTGTTTGAATACACAAATCACAATAAGTGTGTAGGTACAGCGAATAATTAAGTGAGTTATTAGAATGTTATCCCTTAATGATAAGAAGAAATTTCTTCAGCCAGAGGGTGGTGAATCTATGGAACTCATTGCCGCACAGGAATGTGGAGGCCAAGTCATTGAGTGTATTTGGTCTCCTTACATGAGAAAGGATGTACTGGCACTGGAGAGGGTGCAAAGGAGGTTCACTAGGTTGATTCCGGAGTTGAGGGGGTTGGCTTATGAGGAGAGACTGAGTAGATTGGGATTATATTCATTGGAATTCAGAAGATTGAGGGGGGATCTTATAGAAACATATAAAATTATGAAGGGAATAGATAAGATAGAAGTAGAGAGGATGTTTCCACTGGCAGATGAAGCTAGGACAAGAGGGCATAGCCTCAAGATTAGAGGGAGCAGATTTAGGACTGAATTGAGAAGGAATTTCTTCACGCAGAGGGTTGTTAATCTATGGAATTCCTTGCCCAGTGAAGTAGTTGACGCTACTTCAGTAAATGTTTCTAAAAAAAAGGTAGTTTTTTTTTGAACAATAAAGGAATTAAGGGATATGGTGAGAACGCGGGTAAGTGGATCTGAGTCCACAAAAGGATCAGCCATGATCTTATTGAATGGCGGAGCAGGCTCGAAGGGCCAGACGGCCTACTCCTGCTCCTAGTTCTTATGTTCTTATGTAATAGATGGGTTCTTGATTGGTAAGGGGGAATCAAGGGTGACAGGGGAGAAGGCAGGAGAATGGGGTTGAGAAACGTATCAAACATGATCGAATGGTGGAGCTGAGTGGCCAAATTCTGCTCCAATAGCTTACGGTCTTATTATGGGGCCTATTACAAGAGGAATTGAAAATAAAAAGAAGTAAATTATGCTTCAGTTATATAGCGGATTGGTAAGACCATACCTAGAGCACAGTGTGCTTATTTAAGGATGCAATTTTAAAAGTTCATTCATAGGATGAGGGTGTCGCTGGCCAGGCCATCATAATATCCCATCCCTAATTGCCCAGAGGGCAGTTAAGAGTTAACCACATTGCTATGGGTCTGGAGTCACATGTAGGCCAGACCAAATAAGGATGGCAGATTTCCTTCCCTAAAGGGTTTTTTTTTCTGATAGTCAAACAACAGATGCATCAGACTCTATAATTCCAGATTTTTGTTGAATTAGAATTCCACCATCTGCCGTGGCGGGATTCAAATCGAGGTCCAGTGATAATACTACTAGACTGTCACCTCCATTAAGCGTAAAGGGGTTTGAGGCAGTTCAGAGGAGGTTTACTAGAATGAGTGCGTTGTCTTATTTAGGAAAGGTTGGACAGACTGGGTTTAAATCCTCTGGAATTCAGAACTGCGAGGGACAATTTAATTGAAGTTTACAAGACACACAAGATAACACAACCCATTGTCAGTTACTAACAGTCCCATTAATAGCTATTCACCCTCCTAGCCAGATCATTATCCACTCCTTTATCTGTCCAACTGTTCTTCTCTCTCTCTGTCTTTTTGGCTGTGTCCCCACCTATCATTTACTCCTCACCTCCTCCCCCAACCCTATGTTTTGCATATAATCCGACATTTTCGACGCTACCATCAGTTCTGATGAAGGGTCACTGGACCCGAAACATTAATGCTAATTTCTGTCCACAGATGCAGCCAGACCTGCTGAGCTTTTCCAGCAATTTCTGTTTTTGTTTATGATTCACAACATCCACAGTTCCTAGTTCTGAGGAAGGGTCACCGGACCCAAAATGTTAACTCTGTTTTATCCTTCACAGATGCTGCCAGACCTGCTGGGCTTTTCCAGCAACTTTCCTTTTGTTCCACAGTTCTATTGGTGGCTATAAGATCCTGAACAGCCTGACAATGTGAATGTGGAAAGGATGTTTCCTCTTGTAGGTCAGTCCAAAACCAGGGGACACTGTTTTAACTTTGAGAGGGGTCACCTGTCAAGACATAGATGAGGAGAATTATTTTCTCTCAGAGGGTTCTATAATTTTGGTGTTCCAGGCCTCAGAAGGCAAGAGTCATTCATGTAGTCTATGGGAGCTTGCTAGATGTGAAATGGGCTGCCATTCTTCCTCCATTCAGACAGAAACCATGTTTCAAAAGAAGGAAAAAGGGAATTAATTTACTATAAAATTCTGTCACATCTCTATAGCAATGAATAACTTGTTTGGGTCATTCATCATACTTATGTCATAATGATGACAAATAGTAAAATATTTGCTTTGTTGCTACTCATTGGGTCATTTCATAGAGTCAAACAGCATGGAAACAGACCCTTCAGTCCAACCAGTCCATACCAACCATAATTCCAAACTAACAATGTGGTTCCACCTGCCTGCATTTGGCCTGTATCCCTCCAAACATTTCTTATTCATGTACTTATCCAAATGTCTTTTCAACATTGTACCTGTACGCACATCCACCACTTCACTGGGCACTTCACGTCACTTTAAGGCAGAGTTTTACATAGGTGTTCTTTGAGCAATTCTATTCTGAGCAATTGTCACTTCCCTTTAGATAAGGTGGTGGTGAGCTTCCTTCCCGTAGTCTGTTTGATCTAGATGCATTCACAACGCCATTGGGGCAGGCTTTTGACCTGGTGACTCTGAAGGAATGGTGATCTATTTTCAAGTTAGTATGGCGAATGGCTTGGAGGAGAACTTATGGGTGGTGGATTTCTCATGTATCTGTTGCCCTTTCCCATCTCCGTGGGTCGAAGTCTTGGGTTTTGGAAGGTGCTGTCTGAGGAACTTGGTGAATTTCTGCTGTACATCTTGTAGATGGTACACAGTGCTGCTACTGAGCGTCGGTGGGGTGGGGGGAGTGGGATGTTTGTGGATGCGGCGCCAATCGAAGCGGGGGGGCTGCTTTGTCCTGGATGGTGTCGAGCTTCTTGAGTGTTGTTGGAGCTGCCCCCATGCAGGGGCAAGTGGGGAGTATTCCATCACACCCTTGCCTTGTGCCTTGGACAGGCTTTGTGGAGTCAAGTGGTGAGTTACTCACTTCTGGTCAACGGTAAACGGGATGAGGGACTTCAAAAGGGTGGTTGAGGAGTCCTCCCAGAGGAGTGAGGAGGAAAGCCCAAACCCAAGTGGATGTTAAAGTGTGGTAGCCCTCCCAACCAGTGGGGGAGCTACAGGTGAGCGGAGCACTGGCAGTGGGGAGGGTTGGAGTGTGTAGAAAAGTCCTCCCAGCCTCCAGGTGGTGGTAGTGAGATATCAGAGCACTGGTCTGCGGGTGGGGAAGTGAGCAGTGCGTGGGGACAGTCCTCCGAGCGTCCAGATGGTGGTAGTGGGACATTTGAGCACTGGGCAAAGAGTGGGGGTGTTGTGCAATGTGTGTGACAGTCCTCCCAGCCTCCAGGTGGCGATAGGGGGACGGCTGAGCACTGGGGAGAGCGTTGTTATTGGGGGTTGTTAGTGGAGGTAGTCCTCCCAGCCTCCATGTGGCGCTACAGCGACGGCTATCTTGCTCGGTCAGGGGCCAAATGTGCAATGCGTGTGACAGTCCTCCCAACTTTGGCGTTGCCAAGGCGAAGGCGGCGGGGATCTCGCGAGACCGGGAGCCATTTCCGGTCTGTTCGTGGTAGAGGCCCGTTCTGCGCCTGCGCATCAGCTCCGGCGGCTCGCGCTGGGGGGGGAGGGTGAAAGGAACCAAAGGCGCCGCTGCGTTTAGAAGGTTTTCTCCGGAGAGGAAGAGGCGCCGGCTCGGGCTCTCCGGAGTGAGACCGTGTGAGGCAGAGAGAAGGAGAAGCGGTTACGGAACCTAGGGTGAACTGGATCTGTCCCCGCCCGCCCCTTTTCGGTTATTTTTTTTGTGTGTCACCCCGGCAGCGGTTCGCGGATAACGTCCAATTGGACTGCGGCCGGAGCGTTGAGTGACAGTCCGCCTGACCAATCAGCCGCAGAGCCTGGAATGAGTGACATCTACGCCAGACAATCAATAGCGGAATACCGGGTGAGCGATGGCCAATTTATAGCCAATCAGCAGCGGTCGAGGACTGATTGACAGTCGGACTGGCAAATCGACAGCGGGGCCGGGCCTGAGTGGAGGCCTGCCCCCCCCCCAGTCCGTGTGGACGGCAGCCATTTGCGAATTGGTTATGAGTCTGCGACCAATCAGTGAACTGAGTGAGTGGGTCTTTCTTAGTTGTTGTAGAACCTCCAATAGAGAGAGAGGGTAAGTAACTGGCCAATCAGATCCCGTCAGCGGGGTACCTAACTGGCCAATC